AAGTTTCTACTTCCTTCTTTCCTCGGGATTGCTGAGAAGGAAGGGAAGGAGTTGGCTGGAGTTTTGATCTTATTTCTACTTACAACTCTAGGAAGATCTTTATTACAGTGAAATGACCCAACAAGGTGAACAGCCAAAGCAGGAAAGCTGGTGGATGAGCCTGAATGACCCATGAATTAGCAACTTACTCGTTGACTTTAGGCAAGAATTACACACCCATGGTGGGCTCCTGCAGGTGCTGGGATTGGGTTCTGGGTCAGACCCAGCAGTACCGTTCTCCAGCTCTAGGACTCGGATGAGTTGCATGACTTCTCTGTACCTCAGTCTGCTGCTCTGAAAAATGGGCCCAATTCCTACCCCATTGTGTTGGGATAGACGTGTTAATCAACATGTGAGACTTGGATGTGGCCCACTTACAGCAGGCGCCTCGTACCTGTCGGCCACTGTTTGGGATTTCTCTGTGCGTCCTGGAAACTACCATTAAAGAACAACCTCACTCACTGTAATCATTCAACATCGTGTTCTCTTTAGGAACATCCCTCCCCACAACTTTGCTTACATCTATTCCTACCCTAGAGGTATTTTAACAGCACTAAAGACTCTCTTCGGTGCTACAGAATAGATTTCCAAAGACAGAAATTTCCAAAGATCAGAAATTAAAAAGCTGAGGCCAAGCAGTAAAGAGTTTTCACAGCAAATCTGACCAGACTCATTTCTACGTTGGTTGAGTGGTGACAACGTTCTCAAGTCTCGGTCATTCTCGGAAGTTGTTTCTTTGCTCCTCCAGAAAGAGTACAAACTTGATAATGAAAATGTGTTCATGGCCCAACATGACAGAAATAGAGTTTTCAGTGCTGTGGTTATTTAGTTCATCATCTGATGACTTGATTTGATCCTTTTTCGGAGATTTAGGTCAAAATCTGGCTTGCTATAGACCTAGTTTGATCCTATCTATAGTTTTTCCACATTCAAACAACCAGAGTAATGACAGAAATAGGACTCACTGCTGAGTGTTGGATAAAAGGTGGTCACCCCCAGGCTGTAGATTAAGAAGCAAGTGCCGCTGGGCACCGGGCATCTTCCTGGGGTGAAGGATTGTGGAGGTTCTGGGACACCTCTGCAAAGGGGGTAATGATCCCTGAACGGTTCACTTAAAATGGGTGAATTTGATGGTACGTAAATGATGCCTCAATACAGCTATCACTGAATTAAAAAATGAACAGCATGGTTGGGAATTGTGCTGCCTTGGTCCTTTCTCAGCCATTCTGAATCAATCTGGCTTCCAGCATTCAGTAACATATTTTGCATAAATCAGTGTCTTTGTGGGGCATTCTCCAGTAGACCATATTTTTTTTTAGTATAGATATTTTCAAATATGCGAGAATGATACACTGAAACCCCATGATCCCTTCACCCAGATTCAACCATTAGAGTAATCGATATTCTGCCATTTTTCTTTTACCTATCTCCCCAAAGTATGTAGGTGTTAATGTGTACATGGCCACAGGCACGTATGTGTATGTAGGTGTGCATGTGTGCATGTGTGCATTTGCTGGAGTATTTTACAGCAAACATCCCATATCATAACATTTCACCTGTGAATATTCCTCTAGGTCCTTTTAACAGATAAAGATTACTCTCTTACAAAACCACAGCACCGTCTTCCCACCCAACAAAATTAACAACAAATTCTTAATCTCACCCTTCCGTGTTCCTTCGCCTGTGATTCATGCCATGTGCTCAGAAAGAACCTGATTCTGCCATCTGCGAAAACTTTTGTTATTTAAATCCCAGGGCATATTATGGTCTGGATGTGTGTGTCTCCTCAAATTGATATGTTGAAACCCTCACCCCCAAGGGGACGGTGTTTGAAGGTGGAGCCTTTGGGAGGTGATGAGGTCATGAGGATGGAGCCTCCTCATGAATGGGATTGGTGTCCCTATAGAAGGACCCCAAAGAGTTTTCTCACCACTTCCACCATGTGAGGACACAATGAAAAGTTGCCATCTATGAACCAGGAAACTGGTCCTCACCAGACACTGACTCTGTCACACCTGGATCTTGGACTTCCAGGCTCCAAACTGTGAGAAATACATTTTCGTTGTGTGTAATCCACCTAGTCTATAGTATTCTATTATAGCAGCCCAAACTAAGGCAAGGACTATCAGGAGCAGAAGGGATTGGATCCAGCATCAAATGGAGTGTGTCTGTGGAGCGCAGGTATCTGAGCACTCAGAGAGAGAAATGCATCTTCCCTCTGCACAGGGAACAGCGTCGAGGCTCTTGCTTTTTCGAAGGCTTTCTTCTCCCCACATCCTGCCAACAGCAGAATTACAGTATTCCGTCCTTTTTTTAAAAAAAAATTAATGTGTACAAATGTGTTATCCTATTACTCGATATTTAACCAGTGAACAGACTGGCCAAGTTTCTGGGAAACACACACACAACATGATTGAAATACCAAGGCAGGAGCAAACCCTGACGTGGAATTTTGGGTGACAGGGAAGACACCTCATGAACAGGCCCACATGTCATCTGAAGCTGCACTGTGTGAACTGAAATCCCCAGCAATTCCAAAGACCCCAAGTAACTTCTGTGGAGTTGGGGGATCCCGACAGGCAGGTAACAGGAAGTGCCAGCAGCCCTCTCAGTAGCCAAGTGGCTGGACAGGCAAATGATGATAAAAACAGTAGTAATTACAGCAAAAAGCACGCCTCTGCCTGATGGCGGCTCCCTCTCCAACCCAGGGCCACGGGGGCTCTCTCGTCTTGTCGAGGAAGGATATGCTCTAGACCGGCTTCCTGTGGATTCAGGCCGTCACGCCCATTCACAAGGCAGTTGAGCGGTGTTCTGTGTACTGCTGTGAGGCAGTGGTTTGAGGTTTTTCACAGCTTTTTTGCATCAAACGCACTCAAGGCCCACGCCAAGCACTTACAGCGTGAGCTTGCATGGGGCCTCTGGCTGGCTCAGGGTTTCGACTCTGGGTGTTGCTGTAGCAGTGTTGCTTTCTAGGGTTCGCCTTTGGGACAGCAGGAGAAGCAGAGGACGTCCCTCCTTTTGTGGAAATTCTGGGTCCCCCATGACAACCTTTTTTGGATCATCTGCATGTTATACCTGCTGGCGTCGCTGCCACAGGATTCCAGAGCAGCTTAAATGTGTGAATGTGTGTTCATGGGGCTGTTGAAATGAATTCCCACAAACCGCAAGGGCTAAGACAGCAAAATTTATCCTCCCCCAGTCCTGGACACCAGAAGTCTGAGATCCAGATGTGGCAGGGCCACGCAACCTCTGCAGGCTCCAGGGGAGGATCCTTCCTGTCTCTTCCAGCTCCTGCTGGCTCCAGATGTCCCTGGACTTGTGGCCGCATCAGTCCAGTCTCTGCCTCCGTCTTCACGTGGCTTCTCCTCTGTGACTCTGTGTCTCTTATAAGGACATCGTCATTATACTTAAGGTCTACCCTAAATACAAGATGATCTCCTCTTAATTAATTACATCTGTACGAACCCTCTTTCCAATTAAGCTCACATTCTGAGATTTCAGGGGAACATGGGTTTCGGGGGACACCATTCACCCTGCTGCAAATGTATCTCTTTGTTTTTCTTCCAAGACAATAATAGCAAAGAGCAGGGGCACACAGATGACCCCCGAGCAGCTCCAGCAACATCGCAAACCCACGGGAGGGGGCAGGCTGGCTACCTCGAAGCCATGTCCCTGTGCAGTTCCCCAAGCCCCTGACCCGATGGTCATCTCTCCCCATGAAGCCTCCAGAACTCCTGGAATCCAATACCAGGTGAGGTGCAAAATGCCACCAACCTTGATGTTTTAGCCACGTCACCGGCTCCCGGAACCCACAGTTTGGCTTCCTTCACACCCAGAGGGGTAGCGGAACAGAGGCTCCTCATCACACCGAACCAGAGCAGGGGCTGGGGCTGGGGTGGGCTGGTCCCAGCACAGGAGGAGAGACAGAGTCCCCCACCCCATGCCAACCTAGCCAGCAGGCAGGAAGGGTACCCAGAGGCCGATACTCCTGCAGGTCTGTGTGGTCAGCGCCTTCGTGGGATGCCTGGTCCCCAAATGGTGCACACTCATGACAAATCAGCCTCGGACCCTGGAAGGACCTAAGGACTCCTGATGGGGAACAGGAACCCAAGGATGAGCCCAGGCAAGCTGCACCCAGGAGCATCTCATGGAGCCCATGGGAGCTGCGGGCTCTGCCTCCTGTCCACAGCTGGGCCTCAGCAGTTCTCACCCACCCAGTGACCCTTGGCCTGTTGGGGAGGCCTGAGTGGTTCCTGGGGGCTGGACGTCCTCCCCATCGGGGACTCACCAAATGTGACACTGACGTAGGACAGGAGCCCCACCACGTGAAGCCAGAGCGACCAGAAGTCCCCATGGTTGGCTCCTGGGGGGACCAGGAGATGTCTGGTAGACCCATGGGCTCCTGGAGAAGACATTGAGGATGAAAGAGTCTGTCCATTTTCCTCTGGAAGAATCACGGTGACCAGAGTGACTGTGAGGGAGATAAACACTAATTCCAGTGTGCACCAGGCTGGGGAAACAGGGCCGGCCCAGGGGACACGGGGTGCCATGGGCGTCCCAGGCCAGGGCTGCCTCCCATGTGCTGACTGTGCAGGGCAGTGTCCCCAGCAAGAGGTGGTGGCAATGATGTGGGTGGGCCACCCAGGCAGGATATCAGGGGACCACAGGGGACACAGCCGGGCTGGCTGAACACACATCCTCAGGCAGGGACAGGCTGGGCGGCCCCTCGGGAGTCAGAGCTAGAGAGTCCTGGAGCCCTGCGCTGCCACCATCTCCGGAAAACAACGGGGTCTGTCCCTGCTGCTTGACTCTGCTTGGACTCCCTGTCTTGGTGGAGGCTGAGAGTCGGGGACCTGTCCCCAGAGCCCCACGGCAGCAGGTGGAGGACACCCGGACACTGTCTCCAGACGTCCCGGAGCTGCCAGCCCTCGCCGGGTGCTGCTCCTCGGTGCCACGCAGGCTCAGAACACGCTCTCCTGCCTCTTCAGGCAGGGCTGGCCGGCTGCCCCGAGCCCGTCCTCAGCCTGACCAGCGGCCACGGAGCGGCCCGACAGCGTCCTGGCCGAGAAGAGGCTCTCGCGGCGCGTGTCCTGGCTGTCGCTGGGCAGTGGGCCGTAGCCCAGGTAGTCCCGCAGCCGCAGCTGGAACTCGCGGGAGGCGAAGTAGTAGACGAAGGGGTCCAGGCAGTTGTTGAGGCAACTGAGGCACAGCGTGAGCTTGTACACATGGTAGTAGCTCTTGTTGAAGAACAGGCGACTGACCATGTGCACCAGCAGCACGAAGTTGTTGGGCGCAAAGCAGGTGACGAAAGCCAGCAGCACCACGGCGGCCAGGTGCACGGAGCGGCGCCTCTGGCCCTGGCTGTGGCGGTCGGGGGCCTGCAGCAGCTTGAGGATGGTGGCCGTGTAGCAGGCCACGGTGACCACGAAGGGGATGAGGAAGAGGATGATGAAGATGGTGAACAGGAAGAGCGCCCACATGGTCACGCTGGGCAGCATGGTCCACTTGAGCACGTCGAAGCAGGTGACGATGCCCAGCGCGTCCACCCTGTAGGTCAGGTCCGTGCGGGCCAGCGGGGACAGAGCCGCCAGCAGGAGCAGCCACGTGCAGAGGCAGGCGGCCACGGCGTAGCGGCGGCGGCGCCAGCGGGCCGAGGCCAGCGGGTACACCACGCCCAGGAAGCGCTCGACGCTGATGCAGGTCATGGTGAGGATGCTGGAGTACATGTTGGCGTAGAAGGCCACGGTGACCACGTTGCAGGGCAGCACGCCAAACACCCAGTGGTGGCCGTTGCAGTGGTAGTAGATCTGGAAGGGCAGCACGCTGGCCAGCATGAGGTCGGTGAGGCTCAGGTTGATCATGAAGATGACCGACGGGCTCTTGGGCCCAATGTGGCGGCACAGCACCCACAACGAGAACAGGTTGCCGGGGATGCTGACCAGCGCCACCAGCGAGTACACCACGGGCAGGGCCACCGCGATGGCCGGGTTCTGCAGCATCAGCAGCGTGGCGTTGTCCGGCCCGCTCGCCGACTCCATGTCCAGCATCGTGGCCAAGGACGGAGGGCTCCGGCCGGGGCTGGAAGGGAGGAGGCACACGGTGAGGGGACGGCAGGGACGTGTGGATGGGGACTGCTGCAGGGCACGCACAGAGACGACGCAGAGGTGGCCCTCCGTCCCTCCTTCCTTCCCCTTCCCTCCTTCCCTCCTTTCTTTTCTTCTTGCTTTTCCTCCCACCTCCCTCCATCTTTCTCTCCCTCTTTCCCTCCTTCCTGCTGGTTCTTCCCCCACCCAGTTACAGACCCCATGACAGGCACTGCATGGTGACATTCCGGTCAACAGCAGACCATGTACACGACAGCGTTGCCACAGATGGTAACAGAGCAGAAGAATTCCTGTCGCCTAGTGACGCCCCAGCTGTCGGGACACAGTGACTCAGTGCACGACACACATTTGTGGTGTCGCTGGTGTAAAGCTGGCACGGCTGCCGGGCTAACCCAAAGGCGGGTCGGACCTTTAAGACAGAAAGCCCAGCGCTTGACATGTGAGGCCTGACCCCGTGGGACAGGCTCGTCGTCTCCTTCAGAATTCTTGCATTGGAAATCATTGTCACCCATCCCCGTAGCAAAATGACAGTGAACCCAGGCAGCTCGCCCCAGTGCCAGGCACAACCGCTGCCCGCAACTGAATGTTCCTAAGTGTGTGCACTGGTGTTATTCGAACCCCACTTAGCCGGTGAGGACAGTGTGGCACAGAGAGGGTTAGTCACACCACGAGAGGCCCACGCTCAGGTGTAGACAGCAGGGAAATTCACCGCCGTTCCCGTGCACGATGCACACTCATTCGCACAAGGATGGAATCGCCTAACGACACATTTCTCGGAAGGTGTCTCTGTCGTTACGCGACACATGACTGCACGTGATAAATACCGAAACTCTGCAGCGTGCAGAAGAGCACAGAGAACAAATAAAAGCCGCTCACAGCCCGACCACCCGTGAGCGCGGGCGGGCACAGCGGGCACAGGGGCCGGCTGCTCGGGGCTGGGCCGACGTGAGCGCAGACACCTGTCCTTCCTGCCGTGTGCAGGACCCTGTCCGGGTCCTCCTGTCTCTTACTCCACTCCTTCCTTCCTTTCCCCCACTTGGAGCACAGGGACTGTGCTGTAAGGCATGCGGCGGTGGCTTCCATTGGGGACCGTCAGGATGCCCGGGATGGCAACACAGTTACAAAGTTGCAAAATAACTGGCCCTGCAAGCAACCTCGTTTCCAGCTGCCAAATAATTGCTGTTGGTCACCCCATGCCACAGGCCTCCTGTGACTGCTCCGAGCCCTGGTTCCTCATTTGCACACGGTGAAGGATTCGGGGTGCCACCCCCCAGGGCAGGGTGCCCTGGCTCAGTGACTGCCCTCCTCTGACCCCACGGGGGCGCCGTGTCGCCAGCATCACGGTCCCAGGCTATGATTGCCTCTTATCCCTGGACTCTGCCTTATCTTTTCAAAATTTTTTTAATTTTTAATGTAAGTTTTAGCTTTTGAACTTATTTCCAGTTACACACATTTGTGGGGTGCAGAGTTGACTGTCAGTGTGTGTGCACAGTACGTGATGATCCAACCAGTATTACCAGCACGTTCACCGCTACAGATCGCGATGACCTCACCCCATGACCCCCTCGCCCTCGCCCCTCCCCCACCTCTAGTAGCCACAGGTCTGTTCTCTCAACGTTTTATCATGGTCTTTCTTTCTTTTCTTCTTAGCTCCCACTTCTGAGTGAGGACTTGCCGTATTTCTCTTTTCGTGCCTGGCTTATTTCACTTATAATTCTGTCCGAGCTCATCCGTGGTGCTGCGAATGGCAGAATTTCACTCTTTTTGATGGCTGAGCACTATTCAACCGGTATTGCCTCCGGCACCTGGAAACCCATGCAGGAGGCGCCGTGGGAGCCACTCCTTAGGAGAGGGGGGAGTTCGGGAGCCCCCAGGGTGTCGACCCCATGTCTTCCCCGCCTCCTTCCAACCCCAAAGTCATGCTTTCAGTGACGGATTTGGGACCTCATAAAATGTCAGCCCGAGCTGAAAGCCGGAAAAGAAGACCAGGACAGGGCTTTGTAGGGCGGGCTGGTGGGGCTTCCCAAGCTGCAGAGGGACGTGGAAGTGACTGGCTCCCACGCCACCACCCGCCCTGCCTCGGCCCCACCCCAATGAGGGATTCCAGGGTGAGCGCCACCCAGACCACAGCCAACGTCCCCGTTTCTTTCACCAGTGGTTCTCAGAGGTGTCTCCCCTCGACATCTCCAAGGCATTTATCAGGTCACTCCCTTTTTCCATCTTATTATTATTATTTAGTTTCTATTTTTGAATTGACACGTTGCAATTGTACACATTTCTGGGTACGGAGTGATATTTCTACACATGTGTACAACGTGCAGTGATCAAATCAAGGCAATTAGCATCTGGATCCATCACGGACAACGTTTTCCATTTCTTTGTGCTGGGAACATTTGAAATCCTCTTTTCCCACCCTTTGAAAATACACAATAAATTGTTAATTACAGTCACCCGACAGTGCTGCAGAGCACTGGGTATTACTCCTGTACGGTCGTAGTTTTCTGACTGTTCACCAGCCTCCGCCTGTCCCCGTCCACTACCCTTCCCAGACTCTAGTAGCCACAATTTCGTCTCTGCTCCTACGAGATCAATTTTTCTTTCGCTTCCACATTATGAGTGAAAACACGCAGTACTCACAATAGCCAAGATACGGAATCCACCTAAGTGTCCACCAACAGATGACTAGAAAAAGAGAACACGGCGTGTGCACACAATGGAAAACTACTCAGCAACCAAAAAGAATGAAATCCTGTCATTCCCAACAACACCATGAGCCTGGAGGACGTTATATTAAGTAAGATAAATCAGGCACAGGAAGACATTTCAACTTAATTCAAAGGCAAATCATGTTGATGTCAGTACTTGGAGGAAATAATATGTACTTCAAGATGACACAGACAAACATGTCTGGATGACTAAACACATGTCTTTGGTGTGTTTTTGAAATTTCAGCAGCACCCCAAACCCCTGGGAAGGGTAAACTAATATAGGACCAGAGAGACCCCAGTGGAAGGCTCAGAACCCACCAAAGTTTCTGCTGAAAACCACGAGGGACACCCAATGGGCTTTAACATCACCGTCTGCACTTTACATCTCGTTTCCTTTCTTGATTTCACAAATTACCTCCTGCAACTTTTTCAACCATAGTATTGACTCTTCTGGGGGGAGGTCATGCAATCTGAGCATATCATTACAGTGGGGGAAACCTAGATCTCCAGCAGTTCTGTTTCCATGTGCCCCCCACCCCGATGCCAGTGTGTTGTACAGCTGGGGTGCACGAAGGAAGTTATACAAAGACGAAGCCGTGCAGTAGAAAAGCCAGACGGGAGACCTGGGCATGGCTCTGGGCTGTGTCAAGAACTTGCTATGACCGTCATGCGGACACCGCACTTCTCCGATCTGAGGCCCCTCCTTGAAGACCCTTCCTCTGGCTTTCCTAGGCCAAGTGTAAAAAGAGCCTGTGCTCAGAGTGGGAAAACTCTACCCGCATGGTGGCTGTGACAGTCTTGCGTGTCTGCGTGGCTTGGGCACGGCAGCAGGTATTCCACCAGACACTCATGTGGGGGTTGCTGTGAAGGTGTTTAGCAGGTGTGTGGTTGAAATCCCCAATCAGCTGCCTTTAAGCAAGAGAGATTATTTTTGATAATGTGGGTCGGCCTCATGCAATCAGCTGAAGGCCTGAACAGCTAAACTGAGTTTCCCTTAGAAGAAATTCTGCCTCGAGACAGCAGCGTCAGCTCCTGCCTGAGTGTCCAGCCTGCCCAGCTGACCTGCAGATTCAGACCCCACGGTCCTGACAGTCACATGAACTAATTCCTCAATATAAATTTGTTTACATATATATGTTTGCATGTATGTTTGTATGGTGTGTACACTCATGCACATCCTACTGTATACATGTATACATATAGTATGCACACACATCCCGTTGCACACATATATATTGTATATACACACACACACACACCCCATTGCATATGTATATTGTATGCACACACATACATCCTATTGTATATACATTTTGTATGCACACACATCCTATTGCACATATATATAGTATACACCCACATAATCCTATTGCATATATATATTTTATGCACACACGTACATCTGTAGTGGATTGAATTATGTCCTCCCCAAAGATCTTGAAGGTTGAATTGTGTCCCTTAGGTTTTATGTATTAGAAGCTTGGCCCCCACTGTGACTGTTAAGAGGGTGGGAAATCCTATTACGGTAATTGAAAGGTGGAGCCTTGAAGAGGTGATTGGATTGTAGGACCCTGCAGTAGTGAATGGATTAATAATGGTGGTCAGGGGCGTGGTTCTGAGAGTTTTAAAAGAAGAGGAGAGGAGAGTCTGTCTGTCTTTCTCTCTGCTCCTGCCATCTTGCCGTGGGGACCCCTGTGTCACTGTCTCCACCACCAGATGGACTTTGGACTTCCCAGCCTCAGAAGCTGTAAGCAGTAAATTTTGTTTTTCTTTATAAGTCACCTAGTTTCAGGTATTTTGTTATAAGCAACAGAAACGGACTGAAACGCATCCTATTGCATATATAGTGTGTGTGTGTATGTATATACGTACGACGGTACGTCAAAAACTTCATGGAAAAATGAAATTAAAAGACAACGTGAATCTTTCCACGAACTTTTCAAAGACCCCTCGTGTGTGTGTGTGTGTGTGTGTGTGTGTGTGTGTCCACTTTTTGTTCCTGTTTCCCTGTGGGGCCCTGACTGACACAGTCATAGTGTCCTGCAAAGGGGCCTCGTGAAGCTCGGGGGACAATTTCCTAGATGTTCATTATTTGCAGGTTGACATTCTTTTTGAGACCAGGTGTTGACTCTGAGTGTCCCCACAGGCCTCCCACTAGGGCAGCATAGTGAACTGAGGCACCACTCCTGCCTCCGACCCCCTCCCCATGTGTGTGCTGAGGTCAGCCCCCCCGAG